GCTTGACATAACAAATGCCCTCTCATGAGGAGGATGAATGTTAAAATTTCTCTAGCATTTTGAGACAATGGAAAGTTGGAGACAAGGAAATTCCGAACATTTGCAATGGGGGAAAATAAGGAGAAGAGAGAGACAAGGGTGGGCGTGATGGTGGAGGGCAGCAAAGGTGAGGCGCAGTGTAGATAAAAGGGGTGGGAAAAAGAAAGAGATTTTTTTAATTTTTTTTGCCGTTTCACCCCCAAAAATATTATAAAAATAAATACTTTGGCCACATTAGTATAAAAATAGTGTAAAACACTAGTAAAAGGATTCTTTTAAGAGTTTATGTCACTCTTTTGACCAATCCATTATCAAACTAATCTCTCTATGCATAGTAGGTGCCACCGGAGCATATAAAGGCTAGATAAAGGATGAAACTTCTCTCTCAACCTCTCTATCCCCTGCAATAAACTTCTTCCTCAATCCCCCCCCCCCCTCCACCCCACCCAAAAAAACAAATTATTATTAAGAATAAATAAAATAGAAGCTCAGTATTTTTAATACTTAAAATTTACAATGTCAATATTTTCTCAAAAGGGTATGGTTCTCTATTCTGTAATGTGAACCAAAGGATTTTTTTAAATCAAAAACCAAGCATTTAATTAAGAAAAATAAAATAATACAAAAATGACAGGCAGGGGCCAGCAAAAAAAAAAGTGCAACAAGAGTTTTGTACCATACCGTTCTGTAATCTCTATTCTGGAGCATTCCCATTGAACAAAGCTTAGCCACAAATGGACGTATAACTTCCAAGAGCTTATTATTTATCTCAACAGCATCTTCTCCCATTGCAACCTACAAATTTAAGCCTACTATTCAAATCTACTAACAAGAGGATAACATCACTCACTTAAAGAAATGGTTTTATGCATACTTGCATCAACTCTATTTTCCTGTCATGAACATATGGACTGACATCATGATCACTTTCATCGCGATATTCAAGGGTTGAAATATGTAAGTTGTCAATGATTTGCTGAATAGCCTGCTGCTTTGCTGAGTAAATGCAACTAAAGGTTTAGAATATATAGAACAGCCTGGATTTTTCAATAGATATAATCTGGAAACTTACATCCTGGTGTGGCAGTTAAGGCTAGTATTCTTAGTGGCACAGGTACCATCATTAACTGCATATTTAAGATTATACTGATAACTGCATCCAATTACAAGCTAAAGTAATAAACTCAAAGTGAGAGAACCAACAGAAGTGGCAAATCAGTAGAAACTGAACAACAGACCTCACGAACTGCAACACAGTAAGAATAATTTCCAAGTGCTCGATGGGCTTCATCAATCACTAGGCAAACTAAGTATTTCACTAAACATGTGCCTGCAAAATTGTTATTTGATCATTTAATTTACATAATCAGCAATCAGCATTCTACACAAGTCATAGAAGATCACTGAGTGCATGTTCTCTTTTCTTGCATACATCAGAACAAAATAAAATGGGAAGTAAACTTATATATTTTTTTGATAACCGGTGGAGGCGAAAGCTTTGCTCCCCTGCCTCTAGGGGCACCCACGCTTGCCCCAAAGCCAAGAACCGGGAGACATCTAGAGTTTTTTATACTAAGCTCGCCAAAAGGTTCGAACTTGAGACCTCTGAAGTAAACTTATATTATTAAAATAATTAAATGGATAATACCTAATTTGGAATTTTATATTAATGAAAATGTCTAGCACCAATGGCAAGCACACTCAGAGTAACAGCAGGTATTTTTCCCTTATCGACAGATTTCTCCTCTCCACAGAATGCATCAATAGATTTGGTGTGCCCCTGGCAAAGCGGATGGACAGAACTACCTCTCACCACTTTCCCATCTTGCTGGATTTTGGCCAAAATAATTGTGGTTAGCCCAGCAATCTTTCACGCCGTTCTTAGAAAACTGGTGGAACAATAACCCTACCCTTGGTTGGCCCAGACATGGACTGATGATGAAGCTCAAGTCTCTTTAACGTGCACGGAAGGTTTGGAACACAGAGCAGTTTGGCTGCTTGCACTCTGAGAAAGAAGGCCTTTTAAAGCTGTTGAACTCTTTTGATGAGCTGGAAGGAGTTAGACAGCTCACAGTAGAGCAGATTTTGGAAAGAAACAAGGTCAAGGAAGATTTCCTTTTGGTGGCTGCAAAGGAAGAGATATTTTGGCGACAAAAATGCAAACAGACCTGGCTGAGGGAGGGAGGCAAAAACACTAAATTCTTCCACAGATTCCTTGCAAACAAGAGAAGAAAAAGTACCATTACAGAGATCCTATCTAGGGATGGCAGAAGCTTAACAATGATCAAAGACATTGAGGACGAGTTCATTGACTTCTACACAAAGCTCTACTCCAGAAAAGATGGTCAACGCTTTTGCCCCAACAATCTGGATTGGGACCCGATCACGCTGGAAAATAGCCAAATGCTGGAGCTGCCTTTCACAGAGGGAGAAATTCTACCGGCTATTAATTGTCTCAGAACCGATAAAGCCCCTGGTCAGGATGGTTACACGGTAGAGTTCTTTGAAAAATCGTGGAACATCATCAAAACAGACATCTTGGCGATGTTCCAAGATTTTTTTAACGGCGGGATTATCAACAAAGCCCTCAACAAGACTTACATATACCTCATCCCCAAAAGACCTGGGGCAAAGACTGTCCATGATTTCAAACCCATCAGCCTCATCCCATGTGCCTACAAAATCATTGCTCGTGTTCTTTCAGAGAAGCTCAAAAAGGTGCTCCCACATACTATCACTGACTTTCAATCAGCTTTTGTGGAAGGAAGACAGATTCTTGACTCTTCACTGATTGCCAACGAAGTTATTGATGAATGGCGAGCTAGAAACTTCCAAAGAGCAGTGATTCAACTAGATCTTGAGAAGGCTTTCGATATGGTTGACTGGGATTTCCTTGATACAGTGATGCTGCACAAGGGCTTTGGTTTAAAATGGAGAAGATGGATCAGAGCATGTATCTCCACAACAAGCTTCTCCATTATTCTTAAGAATGAATAAACCACCACTCAACCCAAAAGCTTAAGCTAATGGGTTGGGTAAATTTAATTCATTTATATGGATTCTAACACTCCCCCTCACTTATGGGCTTGGAAAACAACATCAAGACCCAACAAGTGGAAATCATAATAAATGGGGAGGAAACGACAATGCAGGGGTTCAAACATAGGACCTCCCGCTCTGATACCATCTTAAGAATAAATAAACCACCACTCAACCCAAAAGCTTAAGCTAATGGGTTGGGTAAATTTAATTCATTTATATGGATTCTAACAATTATCATAAATGGTAAACCTAGAGGCAAGATCACAGCGAGCAGGGGTCTCAGACAAGGAGACCCCTTTCCCCTTCCTCTTCATCTTACGCCAATGCCACATAAAATGAGGCTTCCGCCTCTAAAGATAGAGGTGTAAGCCTCTTTGCTTACGCCTCTGAGGCTTAAAAGGCGTAAGCCTTAAAGCTCTAATGGGGGAATTATACAAAAAAACTTCATGCGGTGGCTTTTGGCAATATTTGACTCATTTATTGCTTAACTTTCTTTTCCTTTGTGCTACTAGCTTGTTTTACGATGGTGGAAAGCAACCAATTTTTTTTTTTTGTCTGTTTTGTTTTCTCTTTCTTTTATGTGATACAACTGCCAGCCCACCTTATTTCTACTGTTATATGGATTACAAAATTTTCAACAATTATTACATCAAAATATTTTACAAGTTTTTAAACTTTGGTTAAGTAATGTTTTCCGTTCTAACTTCTAATAAAAGTTTTCTAATTTTTCTTTTCTCCATGTTTTTCCTTTTTGTTTTTTAATATTCTCAGGATTCCTTTTTATTTTACAAATTTTTTAGAATTAATTTTTAGTTCTAAATGATGTATTTCATACTTCTATATGAACACTATCATATTAATAATACAAGATTTTACATTTCTATCATTTTTTTACTTTTTTCCTATTTAAAATGAGGCTTACGCCTCGCCTCTTCATGAGAAAAAGCCTCAAACCCGCCTTACGATTTTTAAAACATTGATCTTAATAACTGATGTCCTCAGTCGCATGCTCATCCACGGGGAAAATAGAGGTCAGATCACCGACTACTCCTCTAGATGCGCATTGGTTAAGATTAATCACCTTCTTTTTGCAGATGACACACCCCTCTTCACTAGCAAGGAGCCTACAAAGATCAAAAACCTCCGCAGATTCATCAAATCGTTTGAGCTTGGCTCCGGTCTCAACATCAACTACAACAAGTCGGGTGTGCAGGGCATATCTATTGATCCACACATTTCAGCCCTCGTTGCCAATGTTTGTGGATGCAAGGTAGGCAATTGGCCTTGCACTTATTTGGGACTCCCTTTAAACAGGAATCCTAGGAAATAGTCCTTTTGGCGTCCTATTATTGAAAAGCTACAGATTCGGCTTGGCAAATGGAGCAACCTATTTATTTCTAAAGGGGGGAGACTTACCATACTCCAATCGGTTCTATCCAACCAACCCATTTACTACCTATCCCTATTTAAGTTGTCAAGCAAAGCGGCTAGCATGATCGAGAAAATCCTTCGGAATTTCTTATGGGAAGGGCCAAATACAAGTGGCAACCCTCACCTAATTAACTGGAACAAGGTACAGCTCCCCCTTACAGAAGGAGGCCTTGGAGTCGGCAACATAGAGCACAAAAACCAAGCTCTACTGTCCAAGTGGGTCTGGCGTTTCCTTAACGAGAAACATCTTTGGAGGAGGCTCATTTTGGCTAAATAAATGGGATCTTCACCTGCTACTTGCCCTGAACCTGGTTCCTCTCAGTTAAAAGGTCCATGGACTACCATCCTACAGCTATCCGACTTAATCAAGGAATTTGCTAGGTGCAGAGTGGGGGAACAAAGTCACTGTAGCTTCTGGAATGATAGATGGACCCACCAAGGAACGTTGCCAACCAATTCCCAAGGCTTTACACTTTAGCAACATCTAAAGAGGCCACTATATCCGACCTCTGGTCCAAGCCCACCACCTCATGGGGCATTCACCTCTATTTTCAAACAACTAACAACAGACCAAAACCACACCGCCTCTACTCTCTTCCCCAGTTTATGGCAAGGCAAATGCCCCAAAAAGATCAAGTTTTTCTGCTGGGAGCTCAGTCATGGAGCCCTAATACGCATGACAGGATCCAGAAAAAGCTCCCCCACTTATCCATCTCGCCAAACTGTTGCCATCTTTGCTACGAGGCCTCGAAGACACAGGGACACTTCTTTATCTACTGCGATTTAGGGTTTAGAGACAGCTCTACACATACAGCCTTCCATCCTCCTTAATTGCATTGTGGTCGGTCACCCATTCAAGAAGAAGAAAGCTATCCTCTGGACTCAATTTATTTGTGCCTTTCTTTGGAGTTTATGGTTGGAAAGAAACAATAGGATCTTTAATGACAAATCCCTCTCTTTTGAAGCTTTTGTTGATAGAGTTACGGTTTTAGCTCTAGGATGGTGCAAAAGTTTCTATCCTCCCTATAATAGCTACTCTCTAAACGACCTTTTTGCTAACTGGAAGGCGTTTTTGTAAATGCCCTTGGGGCCCTTTTGTATATTTCATACCATCAATGAAATATTTGTTTCATATCAAAAAACAATGTCTAGCACCAGTGCAAGGAGCTATATTTTTATTTTTGATATCCATTTTTCCAAGTTACCTAGTGCGCATCTAACTATTCACCCAGAACAACTGTCTAACCCTATTACATTTGATTGTCAAGGAAACTTGTATGATATTAAATCCTACGCAGGTGGTCACCATTGTTTAAACTCATTCCCTCTAAACCCTTAACTATTTATGTTGACCCTTATTTTACCACTTGATCAAACTTGCAAGCAACTATATGATAACAAACATGGAATACAATGCAAAAATAAAACTTTGGGAAAATAATGGGCATAATCTCATTAAATATTTTTAATCAGAGATAAACTACTTTTGCCTCGAACATCTCGATATTACATTCAGGCACAACTTTAACTAAAGATAGGCTTATAAGACCGGGCATGAAACAGAAAATGTCCTACATAAGTTTCCCTTTGCACTGAAAATAAGAGTAATTATACATAATTGCAATTTTTTTCTGTTTCTGAACAATATACGAAAATTTTCATTAATGAATGAAATAAACAAAGAGTAGAAAGAAAATTATACATAATTGCAATTCCCAAGTCTAGTCAGTCAGAATTCACAATACAAGAGGGCTAAGGATTAAAAGGATTAAAAGAATCACCAGATTGAATATCCTTCTCTAGAACTTGTGGTGTAACAAAGAAAACTCTTTTACTTTTCCAAAAACATGCTCTTTTTGTAGGATTTATCAGACCTGTCATGTCAATTGTCCATTCCTGCAATAAGTTTGATTAGAAAGTCTCTGAATATATGTTAACTGTTTCAATTCACAGAACAGCGGAGTCCAAAGAAAGACCAATGATCCATCAAACCACTTCATTGAAAAACCAGTTTACCGTCGTACTTGTGGTATTCCCACAATATTATGGCATGCTTCTATCTGTTGCAAGACCAGTGGTCGGGAAGGAGCAGTAAATACTATTTTTCCTGCAACCAATAACTAGGAAAAGATGTCAACGTCCTTCAAGACCAAAGATGTATTGAACAAATTCAATAAAGCATCTTCATGCTAACAACAGAGGGAATATAACTTCATGCACATGCATTATCTTGTATAACTTTGTTTTTAGGTCTAATTGAGGTTGGGCAAATGGAGAAACTGTATTTTTCTATTTTATTCTTCTTTTCTTTGTTTTTCTGTTTTTTCTTTTTTTTTTTTTCTTTCTTTTGAGGGGGCATAAGTGAAAAGTTAAAAGGTTATTAAGAATATGTATGAAATCTATCAATTTAGACCCTATTATATGACCATTTTGTTTTTTATTTTCTGTTTTTAAAGTTAAGCTTCCAAACACTACTTTACCTGCGTGTTTCTTTGAGACAATACAACGCTGACATTCAATAAGATGGTAAAAAGGTACTCTTACCCTCTGGAAACCATCTGAAGTAGTTATACATTACAACTGCAGCAATGAGAGTCTTTCCAAGTCCTGTGGGCAAAGCCACCAACGTATTTGAAAATAGTGCTGTCTTGGTAATAGCTAGCTGATAATCCCGAAGAGGAACATTAACTACAGAATTTAACTGACACAATATCAGATTAAAATTATATCGACACTTCTAAGAATATAAATAATCCTGCGAGCAATAAATGCCGCAAAATACTGTATCATGCAAATAAATCTCCCTATTTACTAACTTCGTGAAACCTATAGCCATTCACCTACAGAGCAGTGAACTATAAAATTCGAGGAATATGATGACGTAGGAAACAAATTTAGTGTTGATTCAAACGAAAAGCTTCCAAAAACCGCATGGTTTGAGGAAGTGAGTTCACTGGTTGCAATACCCTAATAATATCCCTAATTACCCCAAGGGCCATTCCTATCGTATTCCAAAATAGAAGTCCAACTCTTGCAGTAGAACACATGACACCTGAAGAAGCTTGCAGTTGATCTAAACAATCAGTTCACATTTTTTAGTTTTTGGTTGTATTTCACGTGTTCATATTTCTGGTAGTGAGAGAACTAAATTCAATGAAAAGATTGTGATATGTGTCTTACTTGGTATTGGTGAGGAGTCCGAGGTATACAAATTATATGATCCACTTATGCAGAGGATCATGGATCAAAGTCAGGTAGTGACCAAAGAACGCCAGTTTGGCTTAGAGACTATGGAAGTGGAGAAAATCTTTAAAGGAAGAAAATACTGCTGCATGTCTAGCTATATTTTCAGGTAGTGACCCAATCTCATTTCAAGATATTTTGAAATGTTAAAATGGAGAAACGCAACGAATGCCATGATAAAGGCCATGGAAAGAAATGATATGCGGGAACTAACAGATTTACCTGCTGAATGACAAAAACTTGGAGTTAAATGGATCTACAAAACTAAACTATCGTGGAAAAGCATAAAGATGTAACACTAGGTTAATAGGGGTCAAGAAGTTGCCACGTAAAAAGAGTCGGGGGCATAAGCTAGCCTAGACACGCATATAATATATATATCAAATAATATACTCGAGAAGATGGTGCGGATTACACTGAATTTTATGCACTTGTAGCTCAACTGAATAAATTTCAAATGGAGATCTTTCTTGCAGCTCTAGAGGAATGGAAAGTTTTTCAACTAAGTGTAATATCGGCATACTTGGATGATGAACCAAGTGATTAAGTTTTTGTAGAGCAGTGAACAAAAAGGAAAGGAACATGAAGTTTAGAAATTGAAACACATCCAACTTGGTATGGCCGTGTCAAGTCTTACTTCATGAGAGTATTATTTGACATACGTTCATCAGAATTGGAAAACAATGTAGATTCTGAGGGGTGTCTTAACATTAGTGAGCTTATACTTAATGGAAAGTGATGAGCTTATGTTCGCTGAATTTAAGAAATCCATGATGCTTGAATTTGACATGCTGGGAAACTGGGATATATTCTTAGCATTGAAGCAATGCAAAAAGCAAGTGGAATTTTAATCTGTCCGAAAAGAAAAAAAATACACAGCAGCAGGTGCTGGAGAGGTTTAAGATGAGCTAGTTCAAAATCCTATGGTTCCTGACTTCAAGCTCATGGAGATACAAATGGAGTGAAAATAGATAGTATTTTCCATAAGCAAACGGTCTGAAGTCTTGCGTGCTCGCTTCACTGACTCCATAATTGAATTCTTCGACGAAAATCCCATAAAAAAGGGGGGAAGAGAGAAACCGAAAGCAGTTTGGAGTTTAGACGACCTGGATATATCCAAGTCTTAGCTGCCTCCTCGTCGATGTCAATAAGACTATCCAACTCTTCGACAATTCCGCGATCTTGAACCGGTTCTTCGACGTCCAGGGTTTTATTTCGAAGCTTGGTGTTGGGATTTACCATAAATCTGTGAAGTGTAGGCTGCCGAGAAGCTCCGCGTTTTTTATTCTCCTCGAGAAATGGAAAAGACGCTGGATTATCTGCAGAGGCGTCGGAGGACGCTACGAGGGAAGGATGAAGTGAGCGTGACGAAGTAGAGGGAATTCCAGATAGGCAGGCGACGTCAATTTCCTTGACAGCTGCTTCCCAGTCGAAATCCTAAAAAAAAAAAAAGGAGAGAGAGAGATGAATCAAAGGACTTAGAACTACATTGGGCGACCAGAAGAAGGAGAACGGGGTTTACGTCGTCGTCGTTGTCGACGATGATTTCCCGATGAATTGCGGACGCCATTGGACACATATTGATAAACTCCATTGCCATACAATGGAGGAAAGTAAATAACCAAGGAGTGCGCGGAGCCGCGATGGTTCGAAGTCATGGCGGCAAAACTTAAAGTGAAAATTTTCACACCCTTTTATGCTATGTTATTATCAAAATTGCCCATAAAACATTCATATTTTCACATTTATTTTTTAACCATCCTAAAATTTATTTGGTTACAAAAAAATGTATCCCTCAATTTTTATTGCAAAATTTAAATCGTTTTTTAAAATGCAAAAAATATATAGTTACGAGGCTGAATCTTCGTGGCATTAATAAGATGGCTTAACTTAATTATGTTAATGTTGGCATACAATTTAAATCACTGTAGAAAATAACACAACCACATAATTTAAATGGTAGATTTGCTAATATTTGAAATGGTGATTCTCCACCTACTACTTTCTCTTTGGACTTACACCCTTTTTACTAGTGGCTTCGTTAAATTTTACATGCCTATCTTGAAATGAAAGATAGCATGACCACAAATATTTAATTTTATATGCTATTGTGCATTCAGGTATATGTTTGAAAAATACTTGAGTGTTTATTAGTTGTACAAAATATATTTTTTGTTCCTGAAGTTTGAGGTAGGTGTCTATTTAATCTTTGAAGTTTTAAAATGAATATTTTTGCTACATGAAGTTTGAGGTATGTGTCAACTTAGTCCCTTAAGTTTTAAAATGAACATGTTTAGTGATTGAGGTTTTGGTCTATGGAGTTTTAAAATACACACTTTTAGTCAATGAAATTAGATAAATAGTTCTAAATAGTCCTTTAATTTTTTTTCTTACTTTTAATTAGCTAATGTTAAAATGACGTGAAAAATTGTAATTAAATTGTTTATTATAGTTACTAATGTGACAAATTATATTCATTAAATAATACATGTGTAATTGATTGTACTTTCTCTCTCATCTCCTCAACTCTTCCTCCCTATTTCTCATACCCTTTTCCACCTATTTGCCGACATATGTCATTTAATTAATATAATTTGCAACTACAATAAACAATTTAAATACAATTTACCACGTCATTTTAATATTAGTTAATTAATAGTAAAAAAATCAGGAACCATTTAGAACTATAAGGGATCAAGTTGACACTTACTTTAAACTTTAGAGATCAATTAGACGCATACCCAAAACCTCAGAGACTAAAATTGTTCATTTTGAAACTTAAGGGACTAAGTAGACACCTACATCAAATCTAAGAGACAAATGTATTTTTGCCTTTATTAGTTTCTATACTACTTCCTACCACTAAAATTTTGACAACTCTCTGTTTTTTTCTAAATATACAAAATATATGTTTTCTTAATCTACCTCTCCCACGTGTAAATATTTTAACAATAGACAAAGACAAAATATTCAATAGAATTATCCCAAATCAATTATTTATAATTAACTAATGATCAAAAGCAGTGACTTGTATATAGTGAAATACAAATGGTCCAAATAACAATCAACGAAATCAATAACCACAAAAGTGCATCAGAAAGTAAAAATTTAAATACTTTTTGAATTTGAAAGTGAAGATTGCAATATTCATGAGTTTAAGGTGAAAGTTTACAGTAAAATCTCATACAATATATATATATTTAATTGGGTGAGCAAAAATTTATATTTTCCCACAACTATTTTGTAGCGAATATCATGGAGGATATAAAAAGCGTTAAATGGCTCAAGGTAACGTGCAAGTCAACCAGTGATGCAGTTGTTGCCAGGCCAGGCGAGGCGGATGCAGAAGGAGACATTCCTTGCAATTGCATACGCAACCAACGGTGGTAGAGGCGGCAGCGGCCATAGTATTGTTTGTCGGCACGGCCAGGATTCGTCAGTCCAGACTCCACTCCAGGGACCGAGACCAAGTTCTTTTCTCTTTCCCGCTGAGTTTGAAACATCGGAGGAAAAGATAAATAAATAAGAAGGCATTAATTGGCGCTTATTTTAGTTGTGCTATGCAGTTGTCTTTCATTTTCTTCCTCCTCTCCTACATCATATTTGCATTTATAGCAAACTTCTCTCTCTGTTTTACCTACTCTCCACGTCCTCATCACTACCCACGATAATAAAAAAATGAAACTAACTGGCATATTTGACATTAGCATCAAGACCGATGCCCAATTTCTTCGCCCACCACTCCTTATCCCGAACAATTTCTTAGTTTTATTGGTTCTACTTGTAGTGAACGCGAATAATGGGCAATCGATTGGTTTGCATGTCAAAGAAGGATGTGAGAGCGAACGGGTCAAGGAGCAGGAAAGAGGGTCGGTCGCAGTCGCAGAGGAAGTCACTGTCCGAGAAAGAGTTGTTGCATAAGCAAGCACTGTCTATGGTACTTCAGCAGCATCAATTGTCGCAAAGGTTTGAAGGATCCATGTCTCGCAGAATTGGGTCGACCAGTTCTCGTAGGCGTACGTTTTCCGATCAATTCTCAAGTGGGAAGCAGGTGGGACCTTCCATATGAATACCTATTTACCTTTTCTTTTTCTTCGAATATATTATATTATCGCCACTAGTATATATTTGATTGCACCTCTCCATATATTACTGATTTTTCCTCAATTAAGATTGATTAGCTCTCTGCTCAAGCTAAAACTTACAAGATCCGCGACAATGAAATTATGTTATAAGGCAATGCTGAAATTGGAGATTATGTAACTTTAGGTTTTGCAGGTACCAGACTGTCTCGAGAACATCAGCATAAAAAAAATTGTTTTGATACATGGAGAAGGATTTGGGGCATGGTGTTGGTATAAAACTATTGCTCTTCTGGAAGAAGTAGGATTGAGTGCAACTGCACTTGATCTCACAGGTTCTGGTATTGATCTTACTGATACAAATGTCATTAGTACACTGGCAGAGTATTCTAAGCCATTGATTGATTACATTGAGAGCCTTCCTCAGGATGAAAAGGTTAGTTTACACGTGCAACATCATCTCACGTTGTCTTCTTTAGTTGTAATTTGTAAACAGTTGCATTACCGGAGCAAATCCTTTTCTTTTTTATGAATTCAATATATGCATAGGTTATTCTGGTCGGTCACAGTGGTGGAGGTGCTTGTGTTTCTTATGCATTAGAGAATTTTCCTCAAAGGATATCAAAAGCAGTTTTCCTCTGTGCTACGATGGTATCTGATGGGCAGAGGCCTTTTGACGCATTTGCTGAAGAGGTATGTGTTATTGATGTTTGTTTCTATTTGGTCCAATAACGTAATAGTCTTACCTCCATCCCCAAAGATCAATCAAGATTCAAGGCTTTTTCAGATTTTGAGAAATTTAGCATGAATATTCTCAGCATTATAAAACTATTAGCTTTATTCGATTGGTTATGTCTCTAGAATCATTTCATTGATTACAAAGGCATCACTTTGCTCCCTGAATAAATTGGTCCCTCTCCCTCGCATGGTTTTGCTGGTTTCCTCGTTGCAGCTTGGTTCTGCAGAGATTTTTCTGAAAGACTCGATGTTTTTGATATATGGAAATGGAAAGGACAAACCTGCTACTGGATTTATGTTGGATAAAGAACAAATGAAAGGACTGTATTTCAATCAATCTCCTGTAAAGGTATGCCACGATCTCGTCTTATCCCTCTCTCTAATGATCACCTGAAGTTGTTCTTATTCATCACTGGTGTTGAAGACGGAATTTTTGGTTGGTGATATAGGATGTTGCTTTGGCTATGGTCTCCATGAGACCAATCCCACTTGGCCCAATGATGGAGAAGCTGTCATTGTCTCCTAAAAACTATGGAAGCAGTCGGCGTTTCTTCATTCAGACATTGGATGATCGGGCACTTTCTCCAGATGTCCAAGAAAAGCTGGTGCGGGAAAACCCACCAGAGAGAGTGTTGAAAATAAAAGGCAGCGACCATTGCCCTTTCTTCTCAAAGCCACAGTCACTGCACAAAATTTTGGTGGAGATTGCACAAATTCCTTGAACGACATATTGACTTGACAAGTCAAACAAACCCCCTTTAGTTTTCTCCCCTTTTCCCGTTGAGAGTAGTTTGATTATTTACATGGCTCGGGTGGCCATGGCTGTATGTATTATTTATTCTGTTTGTGCCAGGTTACCGGATGTTTCTGCTTTTTCCAACTTGATAAGTTAATTATTTATTGGTAAGCAACTGATGGTGTATCTTTGGAATGATGGTTATACTTATAGTAGATGAAACATTCATGAAAAAGGGTGAGACATTTTATCTTTTTCCAAGCAGTAAATTGTATTACCACAAAAGATGCGCTTTATATCTTTTCTATTGGTTATAATAGAGAGTAGTTTGGACCTTGAGGGAAAAAAAAAAAGCTGCAGCTAAGCCCTTTGCCACACTGGCAAGCAATAATAACGATGTTCAAAGGCATTTTAACTTGATCTCTGTGTTTTATTATTCTGAGACCCCTTTCTTTTCTACTTTTCAGGAAATTCTTTAACATTTATCCACTCCATTTGGATTCTGGCTCTGTTTGGTGGTCCATGTGTTGAGTCAATTTGAGCTTTATGCATCATCCATTTTTGTTGCGGAAGTCTTTCATTTGAAGTTCCTGTTGTTCAAGTTTTGGATTTATACCTAGAGTTTAGCTCACATTTTTACTCACACTAGCACAGGGAGTTTTATAAAGTATAAGAGGGTGTGTTCGGTTTTTGAAAGTTAGTGTGAGTGGGAGGAGGTGGCAATTAAAATGGGTGGAAGTGAAGCCTTGTTTACACTGAATATGAATGTTAATCTGTTGTTAGCAGGTCGTACTGGGGACGGAAAAAGCGCAACTGGGAACACTATTCTTGGGAGGGAGGTGTTCAAGTCAAGGCCAAGTTCTTCGGGCGTTACCAAAACTTGTGAGCTGCAGACTAGTGTGCGGGAAGATGGGCATGTGATAAACGTCATCGACACACCCGGTACGTATCTAGAATTTAGAAACAAACTAATTAATTAGTTAAACAACAAAACAATATAATCTCTCTCTCTTCCTGGTTCTTAATCTTTATGCAATGCAATGCAGGAGTGTTGTTGGATTTATCCGGTGGCGGTGGAGCAGACTACGCTGCAAGGGAAATGGTGAGATGCATGGATCTGACGAAGGAGGGTATTCATGCGGTTGTTATAGTTTTGTCGGTGAGGACCCGGTTTTCGCGAGAAGAAGAAGCTACCATCCGAACCCTGAAAACTTTGTTCGGAACCAAAATTCTGGACTACGTCATTCTACTCTTCACTGGGGGCGACGATCTCGAAGACGAGGGTGACACTGGAAGATTACTTGACTCGTGAATCTCCCGTCGCCCTAAAGGATACACTGGCGGCCTGCAAAAACCGCTGCGTGCTGTTTGATAACAGGACTAGGAGTGAATTGAAGAAAGTTGAACAGATGGGGAAGCTTGTGGGGCTGGTCAATGAGGTGATGCTGCTGAATGGAGGACAGCTCTACACGTATTCTCACGGCTTAATTAATTCTGAAATGACGTTTGAGGCGAAGCTGCAGGAGGTTAGGACCAAGCTTCAACAGCAATTGGCAGAAGATGAAAAGGTTTCGACACTCGTAGCTCAAAACAGAGCACAACAGATTCTGGAGGATGCAAGTAGTAACCTTCAACGTCAATTGGAAAAGGCAAAAGAAGCAAGAGTCAGAGCAGAAGAGAGGGCGCAGCAGGTTCAACAACAATCTGCTGATGAAATTCGGAGTCTCAATGACCGCCTACGACGCGCACTTAAATGAACACTCGGTGATCGCGTCGCGCGCACCCGGTGCCGCTGCACTGGTTTAATGTGCACGTAATATAAATAAGTAAATTATTAATTATAATTTATTGGCTGTCACCTTAAATAATTAAGGGGGTAAAGAACTGACACGACAAAAACCAATTTGATTCAGATCGGTTCGATTCTAGTTAATATTGGTTTGGTCAGGATTGACCCGACAAACCGAGTTCCCTTACCCTCGATAAATATCATTATATTATATTTCTATTTGTTTTGTATTTCTATCTTCATTTTCAAATATTTAATAATAATTATGAGTTATGAGTATGACAAGTATTTTTCAAAATATATTAAGAAACCTGACACATGCCAACTTGAAGTTTGAACACAGGCACAAATTCTCAGAGCGGGGGTGAAGTCAATGGACTTCTTATCCAAAGTGTACAATATGCCCTCTCTTCTACGTAGATTAGCCCGGGCTTACATTACATTATACATTATCCTTGAAAATATGAGTTTCACCTGAAAATATAAATAAAAAAAAGAAGAGTATTCCATGTTTAAATATGTGTTCGCTGGTAAATTTAAAATTTAAATCTCAATTTTAAAAGTTCTTCAAATTATTATGTAACATGTGTATAAACTATTTGTATTTGCAACCAATTTAGTTCAATCTAAAATATTATCAATTATATTCGAATAGGACACGTGTCGAATATTGTTAGGGGCGATAGCGAGGTGCGGGACCACATACGCTACACATATATACGAGCATATCACTAGTGTAGTTGTGCGGATGAGATGTTGAGGACGGCATCCTACAACCGCCAACTGTTGGGAACATCTGCCCTTGCTTCGTCAGCGTCCGGCTCAGCATGCTACTGCACCTCTAATCATTGTTCTTCCCGGTCGACCCACCGCATCTTTAAAAAGGAAGAACCTCATTACTACCAAGCGAAAAGTCTGTATGTTTAATGTCTACCCATATTCTTTTATCCCGATTACCGATTTGATCGTCAGAGTGTACTATGCGGGATACTGTACCGTTGAATTCTGGTTGCAAGTTCATTCGTCCCTCGACGAACATACAGTTATCCAAATGACACGAATTAAATATAATAAATCCCATGAACAATAATATATATGTAGCTCATATTCTATTAAATTTTGAAGGAAAAAAACGTACGGTACAGTACAATGATGCTAATAACGCAGTTGCCTTCTGCCTAGGCTAGTGTGCATTATCATACCATATTACCATATATCAATGCATTCGTTTCGCTACCTTATTCCCACATAATAAAATTCTCACTAGAAGACTTTTTCGGAAGAAAAAAAAATCTTGCGATATTTTTATGAAAAAACTGGCTCATTTAGTTGGAGGAACTTCTGCATTTACACTATTAACTCTCAACTACCTGACAACTCATTAATTAATTTTTTTTATTTATCTCTCTTAATTATAAAATACATACTGACTTTAATATGTGAAGATCTTTAGCTACTCACCCTATTAAAAAAATATTTTTCTATCTTTTAAAAAAATAAAAAATGTCTCAATTTTGTATAACGGTATTTAATTACTAATGGGTGAGTAGAGTATATATCTTTTGTGGTCCTTGAAAATTGACAAATTCATATTTTAAAACTCACGATCACAGTTAAGTATTTTCTATCCTAGCAGTTGAGGTTGAACTCGACCGACGTTTTTTTTTACTTCTAGATACGTGACTGTCAACTCTCAAACCTCTTGTCAATTAATACACCTACACCCGAAGGTGCACCTCAATCCACCATTTTATCTTCGACATCCTTTCAATAAAATAGTTTTGATTTTTCTCTTATTTTGAAAAATTAAACACACAACCTTTAATATTTTTCGAGAAACAAAAAGATTTATAATTTCATTTTGGTCTTTAAGTTTAAATATTTTATTTCTCTTAATTCTCAAATATTTTATTTTATTTTTGACATTTCAAATATTCTATTTTAAATAATAAACTAAATAAAAAAATATTATTCAAACTAACAAAAGAAAAAGTATTAAAAAACAAACTAAATAAAAATGGGTCAGTTATGGCAAAAATATTTAGTAAAATAAGCGCATTTTTTCCAACAAAAAAACGGAGGTCCAATTATAAAATTAAAAATTTACCCAGTAATATATCTAATATATATCTGCAATATATATGACTAGTGATATATGCCTCTGATATACTACGGATATAATAATGATATACAATTGATTTACTTATAATATAATTATGATATCTACTAAGATTTTAGCATGGCTTACCATTGATATACGTATGATAATCCTTGATTTACCACGCCGATACAACATTTATATATTTGTGATATGTATTTGATATGTCTTTAATTTACCATTGATGTACAAATAATATACCATTGATATAACTGTGATATCTACAGATAAAACTTCCTATATTTGATTTACCACTAATATAATACTGATATATATTTAATATGCTTTTAACTTACCATTGATATACCTATGATATTATACTAATATAACTCTGCATGATACATGTGAGTTGATATACTAATATTTTTTCATATGAAAACAATGGTGTAAAACAAATTTTTAAATATAAAGCTATTGTATAAAAGGTTTACGTGGATCATGCACGTATAAAAAAAATATAATTAAATATCTTATATACTTTATAAATTTAAACATTTTATATCATTTATATTTAGTATATAATTAATATTAATATATAATAAATAGTAGTGATATAGTAATCAATAATATTAGTATATCAACCGACAAATGACAATGATAAACTATAATTTAAACAACCGATATACCTTATATTTAGTATATCGTAAAATTGAGGTACATCAGATATATCTAATAATGTATATCATGGGTACATATGATAATGTATGTATATCAGTAGTATATCAAATGTATATTAGAAGTATATTAGAGGTACATCGTATGCATATCAGATATAGATTGAATGTATATTAGATAGAAATATATATTGAATATATATCATATACAGATATTCATTTGATATATAGCAGATATCATAAGAATACAATCAGAATAATAAAAATTAAAAAAAAAATCAAATATTTTACTATATTTGAAATTCCGGGTGACATTTTTTGAAATACATAAATTATCTTTGCTATCCACCACAATCACTCAATAAAAAAAATAGATGAAATATAGATAAACTGTGGATGATGCCGTTTGAAAGTTTTCGTGGGAGATATGGAAAATAAGTAGATAACAGTTGAAATGCGAATTTTTAAAAATTTGTTAATAGATACGCCAGATTTTCGGGAATTCAAAATCCATGACATCATTTATCATAATTTAATTTACCTTTGCGAAACACTGTGGTTAATGTCATTGTCATTTGTGGCCTCAGCCCATCCTTTGCTTCAATCACAAGCCAACGTCTGCGGTCTGCGGTCTTCTTCTTCAAAATTGAAGTATTCGGCCGTGCTCTTTGGTTCACCCGTCAATCAGACCGTCTACAGTGTAAGTAACCTATCCTCCTTTTTCTTCTTTTTTTTTTTTTGGTTGCAAATTGCGAATTGTTTCAGTTATGCATTCATAAATCAATCTAGATGTCCGGATTGTTTCCCCTCAACTTATTCTTACTCAATCAATTCTGATCATCGTGGATTTGATGTTCTTACTTAATTCGTTCCGACGAGATTTTCTCTTTGATTCTGGTACTGCTTCAAGTTCGAAAATTTTATTGTTGCATATTTGCTTTTAGATTTCAATTATTCTCTTCCTGAAAACAACAGGTACTTTGTTTGGCCCTCTTCAATTGCGTGCTCTCTGTAGCTATTACCGAAATACTAGATACCATTTACCCTTTACTGGTATCCAAGCGTGGTGGCATACTGGCTGTGTGCTGCCTCCTCGGTCTACCCTATCAATATTTTTTATCTGTTACAGTAAGAAGGCTGCTAACTGCATATTTCTTTGCTCAGGAAATCTGACGATATACACTGCTTATTATAAATAAGCCACATGGGTGGAAGTGCTATAGATGAAGATTGGGAACTAGACTTTACTTCCCCAACCAGTGGAAGAAGTGCTCGAACTGTGGTCTTAGTTGGTCGTACTGGCAATGGAAAAAGTGCTACTGGCAACAGTATTCTTGGCAGGAGGGCTTTTAAGTCGAGGGCAAGTTCTTCCGGTGTTACCAGCACTTCTGAATTGCAGACAACTGTACTCAGAGATGGCCAAGTGATAAATGTTATTGACACTCCTGGTAAGCATGAGCTAACTCAACTAATAGGCACTATCCCATACTTTCAGAGGCTGACGTATAACTTCTCTAAGAGAATCTCTCTCTTGAACGTTGCAGGGCTGTTCGACTTTTCTGCCGGATCAGATTTTGTTGGCAAGGAAATTGTTAAATGCATTGATCTGGCCAAGGATGGTATTCATGCCGTTCTTGTAGTTTTCTCAGTCAGGACCCGGTTCTCTCTGGAGGAAGAGGCTGCTCTTCGTAGCCTTCAAACTTTGTTTGGTAGCAAAATTGTCAACTACATGATTGTAGTTTTTACTGGGGGTGATGAACTCGAAGAAAATGACGAGACATTGGAAGATTATTTAGGTCGTTCATGTCCTGATCCCTTAAAGGTTGCCTTTTTGTAGCTTGCTCTAAGTTGTTCCTTATTTTAGGACGTTTGTATTGTTTCTTTTTAGCATGTTGCAGATTCCCAATCATTTTGACCTTCTTGTGAATTTAAATTGTTGGGTTGTACTATGATCTTACTATTTATTCAATTTCGTGTTGGTTGGAAATATCTAATATTACCAGTTCTTAAATAATTTTATCGGTTGTAGGATATCCTTGCCCTGTGTAAGAACCGTTGTGTGCTTTTTGATAACAAGACCAAGGACGAAATGAAGAGGGTTGAACAAGTTGAGCAGCTTCTCTCCCTTGTTACCGGCATAATAATACAAAATGGTGGACATCCCTATACAGACGAGTTATTTACTGAACTGAAGGTACTATTAAACCATACAGGTTTCTTTACAATTGTTTCAGGAACAAAACCCTTACAACAAATTAATCTTGCAGGTAGGGGCTATGAAACTTCGTGATCAACAAAAAGAGGTTGATTCTCTTGAAGGCTACTCCAAACGAGAAATTTCGGAGCTGAAGGAGCAGATGCACCGTTCATATGAAGAGCAGTTGAAAAGAATTACCGAGATGGTATTTTCTCAAGCCTTCCTGTTTTACAGTTATTTGTTAATGCCGTCTTAATGTTAAAAAAGGGGATATCAGTTGAAAAAATGATTTTGATGCCATGATTACTTATGGTTGTTATTATCTATACTTTGTAATTAGGAAAATGCAGACAAATTATTTTTTGAATCTGAGAGTGTTAAGAAAGATTGCCAACCTGTCATGATTGGAGTGGACTGAGATTGCTAGACTCACTAGCTGGACATATATTTAAAATCCGACTCTTCATAATGATTTATTTTAATATGGTTGTCAGAATACTACAGCTGAAGGAAAAAATCATTTTAGGGTACTTTCTGAGTCACAAAGACGGGAGAAAAAGGTTACAATGATAGAGCCTAAATGATTGTCTTTTGAAAACCCAAATGAACGTGAAGTTTGTGTAGGATGGTTGAGCTATGATTAAAGTTAGGCATAGTTGAGAGAAAATTTTGGAATTCCCCAGAAGAAGTGAGAAAGTTCTCTATTTTTATACAAAGGCCGTCCGTTGTAATTGCTAGGCATACCATTTTGTCTTCTCATCACCAAAGAAAAAGGACTTCTCATTCAGTAGGATAGAAGAACAAGAAAAGCTGTAGAAGTTCCTAAAGAGATACTTAGATTTTAAATAATGTTAAAGAGCTGAATTAAAATATATCTCAGGTACAGTTATCCTTTATAACCATAGGTATCTGATAGAGAGAGGCCTACAAATGTTGAGTGTCAGCGTGTGTATTAAGTTTTAGTTTCTTGGTATTCTGACTAGATTTACAAATGATGTCTGTTTTTTCCTAGGTTGAGTTGAAGCTCAGAGAAACAACTATGAGACTCGAACAACAATTGGCAGAAGAACAGTCAGCAAGGCTGAAAGCAGAAGAGCATGCACAAAAAGCTCAAAAAGAATCTAATGATGAAATTCGTAAACTCAGGGAGCATCTACAGAAAGCAGAGGAAGAGCTTCGTAGGCGTGGCGAGTCTCGGTGTACCATCCTCTGATGAACCTGATGTTAAGATTTACTGCAGTAAATCTTTTTTCTTAGAGTCCTGAGTAAAAGAATTTATCGTCTTTTAATAGTTTCCCCTCCCTCCCCCTCTTTTGGTACCTTTTAAGGTTACATTAACGGTGCTTGTCTATAATTCTGGCTCTCAGTTATTATCATATGTGCATGAATGTATTTAAATTCTATGTATGAAAACTTCATCACCTAATGAATGGCGCGTAATGCATGCTCAACCATTTGAAGTGATATGAATAGTTATTTCTGGTCACATAGAAAACCTCCTTTGGGTGGAAACCTCCTTTGGGTGGAATATTGAAGTTTGATGCTACATGCTATCAGTGTTCCAGAGGATGATCGTTTGTGTACCGTTGAAGACTTTTGAACTCATCTTCTGCCTTAAATATATAATTTGAAATGAGGGGACTTGGAATTTGGATTAGGACTTCAAATGAACAGGACTTTACTAAATGGGCAGGTTGAAACATGTATCATCCAAATCGCATGTTGTATTTTAAAAGAATGCCAATTTTACGAAAACCTTCAATTACTATTAAATTTATCTGGTCACTGGGTTCATCCTTGCTTCATCTATCAAACTCGGTGGAACAAAATAAGAGAGAGTTGTATTGGAGACTTGTACAATCCACTCCATTCCATGATGTGGCTGGAAACATAATCACCAAATTGCATCGCTCAACAGGCTCGGTCGTGGAGACCAACTATTATTTAAAATGGTCAAACGCAAGCCACCCCAAATGAGAGTTGCTACTCTTCCAGAAATGGATAGTCTGTGTAACCTACCACTGGATCTGATAGGTAAAAGGTCTCTCTGTTGTACTTGTTGAGAGGAGCACCCATCTCGAATCTCCTTGGCAAGTCTGGATTTGCCAAAAACCAACGGCCATAAGCAATAACATCTGCTCGATTTTCAGCAATGGCTCTGTTTCCATCTTCCTCATCATACCCCCCAGCAGCTATGAATGTACCCTTGAATGCGTTTCTCATTGGTAACAAGCTGTGTTCACACTCAACTTTCTCCATAACATTTACCATCCGTGGCTCTACCATGTGGCAGTACAAAATTCCATATTTGTTCAAATTATCTGCCATGTAGAGTCCCAAAGATTTTGGATTTGAATCTCCTGCCTCCATGAAATCTGAAAATGGTGATAGTCTTATCCCAACTCTGTCTCCACCTATCTCGTTTACAACAGCTTCAACTACTTCTAGAGCAAATCTGCAACGGTTTTCCAGGGATCCTCCATATTGGTCTGTTCGGTCGTTCACTTGATCTTTCAAGAACTGATCAATAATATAACCATGAGCTCCATGGATCTCAACTCCATCAAAACCTGTACATTCATTCAACTACCATATCAATGCTTGTACAGAAATATACCAAACACACACACACACACACACACACACACACACACATATATCAAGAAATTGATATAAAATCAGACTTAAAAGAGAGAAAATTTTATGGCTAACTCGTACTCTCCATCCCAAAAAGAATTCAAATTCTCTTAGTACGTAACAACTTCTCAGAACCATTCTTTATTTGTTGCCCATCAAGATTCTTATACCAAAAGAGTAAAAATGTTTGTTTGGAGTCCATATAAGATAGAAGTTCTGTATCCCTTGCACATCAATATTTTGCCTCCCACACGAAGGAACTCCTGTGTCAGTATATTGCTTTATGGTTGTTTTCTCCTCTTTTTCAAGAAAAGTGTTACTATCTCTCTTGTGCTTCTTAATGCTTTTTAATCTTAATCAGTAATCATGACAGAAGCTAAAAATCCAATCATGGCAGGATTTCTGTTAGTTTTCTGAATATAGGACTTACCAGCTTCAATGGCGTTCCTGGCTGCAAGCCTAAAATAATTGACAATTTGAGGGATTTCATCTGTCCTTAGACGTCTAGGAGGAGTAAACTGTGCGACATCAATTCCATTAGCTCGAACTTGTGGGAACAATAGCTTCTCCGATGACGAGATTGGTGCTTGTCCATTTGGTTGAAAACCTATATGCATCAGAAAATATATAGCTAGAATGGATAATTACTTATTTCTTAAAATAAACAAGAGACCGAAGTAAGTGACATGACTTAGTTACACCACTACTGTAGGCACCACCAGAAATAGAGAAAAAATGCGTAAAGGAACTTTTATATCATGTATGGAGCAAAGTAACAGCCTCTTCAAGAATCGACAGTTCAAATGTTTTTACATAGTTCAGGAACCTCATATTCACGAAGTTAATTGCCTCAACTGTCTTTTTATAGACTTAAATGCTCGTAAAAAATTAAGAATAGAAAGGCTCTATATTGGGTGCTTAATCATAAGAAAAAATGGCAACTGAGAAGCCACGTACTGTTTGCTTTATCCAATGCAGGATCCAATCTACGGTTTTCTACGTGATTGCATTGTCCCAAATAATATGTTCTTACATAAAAAGTAGGTTCTACCAACTTTTATTTTTATTACTCAATTCATGGAAAAAAACTGCTTCGCAGCAGGAGTATAATAAGTAATGGGAAAAAGTTAGCATCCAGTGCTTGATGTAGATATCCACTGATACCGTTCCTGCGACCGTGCATTTTGCAGGCAATAGTAATTGAGGTCAATGTAATTAAAGTTGACATTTTGACGAGTTGAAGTAAGAAGTCAAGTTTTGTATTGGCTAGCCTGTAATATACAACAACAACTTGCTGTCATACTCATGCCTGTGGTGGGGCTGATGAAGTTAAAAAGTAAATCCTTTTTCCATTAAAAAAAAAACGCACCTGAATTTGAAACCCTCCCTACATGCCATATCTGACAAAAGAAGATGCCGCCTTTGCGATGGACAGCATCTACAATTGGTTTCCATGCTTCTACTTGCTCTTTTGTCCAGATCCCAGGTGTATCAGGATATCTTACGCGTTAGAAGACAGAAACAGATTAGTTGACAAGCAAGGAAGTCAGCACAAAATAATGCTGTTCTTAGGCTTGGGCCCAAGAGGTTTCTTGAGAAGACGGGAAAAAGAAAAGGAAGAAGTTTATCAAAGACTATTACCCTTGAGCAGTGTCAGAAACCCCAGTGGCCTCAGCTATTAAGAAACCCCCTTTAGTGGTTCTCTGGGAGTAATATAAAATGGCATGTTGCTGAGGAACATTGTTGTAAGATCTCTGCCTTGTCAATGGGGCCATTGCGATTCTGAAGAATAATTATTGAGGGGAAAATATAAGCAAGTCTAAGATTGAAGATGGTGAATGAAAATATGTAGCAGTATACAGGCAAAACAGCAATTTAAGCAATTAACAAACTTAGAAATCGCGCGTGGACGCTAAGGAAACAGATTATCCAAACAACACAATTTGTTAGATCATAGTTGAAAGACATGCAGCTGGCAATCGTAAATTGGATGGAATTACGATTACCTGTGAGAAAGATTGAAGTTGCCCATCTTGTAAGGAGTGAGGAGAGGGATGGTGGGAGTTTGAGCAGATGCATCATTGTTGTTATCCGCCATTTCTATTGGTTTAACTTTGGTCCTTTCTCGCTGTGTTGCTCTTCCTTGGGGCAAAACTCAGATGCCGAGAGAGGATCCGCATGGGGTATTTATACATTTGATTAAACATGGCAGCCACAATTATGAATTTGGTCCCCGGCGGAGCGGAACAGAGCAGAAAGACGACATTGAATGATTGAGTAGAGTAGGTTTTGTTAACCGGTGACGTATGAGAATGCGTGGATGATGGGATTGCGAGCGAATCAGATCCGGCCGCCTCCAAATCGCCCACCGTAGTTGAACCGGTTGATTTTTCAGACA